AGCCGACGGCAGGTCAAAGCCTCGTTGGTTGAGAACAAAACTGCTAAGAACCCAGACGTGTTAAATAGCACCTAGAAGTGCTACATGGAATCTCTTGACAAATTTATTTTAACAGTCTCAAGTCGTCTTGTTGGATGCCCCCATTAAAGTGAAAAATTTGATAAGAGTGTAGTAAATGTAGTGTGGCAATATTCCTACAGTTGTCATAATTGGCCTGACACTTAATGGTAACATTGATATTCAGTTCCTTTGCTGTGTTTCTTTGGCCTTTACATGCACTCCATGATGACTTCTTCAGTGTAAGTCTGTGCTGTGTTGCTTATGAAGAAAGCTTTAAAATGAAATCTGAAAGCTGTATGACATTATCATGCAGCAGCCGTGAATAAGGTCATGAAGAGAAGAGGCCTCAGCTGTTCTTCCAGAGGTAACGCAAGAACAACAGAAACTCTTTGCTAGCACAGCTGTATAGGTCTGTTCAGGGAAAGATTTGGTCAAATAGAAAAATTGCTCAAGACTTTATGACAAATCAGTGACGCAACACTGTAAGCAATGGCATACATCTGAAAACATAAAGACATTCTCACTGTAGAAGAGAGCCTAAACCAGTAGTCCAGAGGCAACATATGCTCACCATGACCGCGGAAGATGGGCAAAAGTTCATTTATTACATTTCATTAAGCTACATGAAATGTCACTATACATTTTTATACAGAATGACACATATTTAGTCAACATTTTAAATTAATACAAATTATAGAACTCAAAACTGCTAGAAAACAGTCACTAGCCTAAGTATAGTTAGGGTCTATGTCTATTTTTATGTCTGTTTTTAGTCTAGTTTAAATGTGGTATTCTGCATACTGCATACTTACAAGAATTGTTACAGAATACTTACACACTAAATGGAAAAAAAAAATACAGTCTTTAAAAAAACATCAATCCTTGCTTATGAACTACTTTAAAAGTGGCACACATGTTCCTCTGAAGACAAACTCAACAAACAGCTTCTTTACGAACACCAATCCAGTTATTTATCACAGCGTTACTGAGCTCTTTTACGAGTGTTCCTTGGTGCATTTACCAAAGTGTCCCACTTTTGCTGAGTTCATGAGACAGGCATCAGTCTCGCTTGAGGCATTGTAGGAGCAGCAGTGGACTGGGGCAGGCGATGAGAGAAAAACATCATTGTAAGAGCGTCATTCGTGTTTACAGAAGAATTACATAAAGATAGCTGTCAATCAGTAAGAGTGAGGAACAGTGTAAATTAAGAGTTTTTCCTGTGTGCCGTGTACTCTAAATGTACTCCGAAAATGTTACTTTTTAGGTGTTGTAACACAGTACACTACTGAATACGTTTGGGACAGTGTATTCAGTATTCAGCATTCAGCCATTACCACTTTTTTATTTAACTATTTTGTCCAAGTCTGGTTATAGTAGACTTAACTGATATTTGACAGTGCTGAACTGGGATGTGTCTTTCAATAAGCAGCATAAGCAGTCGCTTGGGACCTCCAAGCCACCAGGGATCCTAGCGAATATCTAGTATGCACAGCAAGTTGATGTGTGAGGCTTAGGGCCCCCGAATGTTCAGAAACAGGAATGTTTAATTTTGCACTGTAACTTTTTGCTACAGTAAGAATTGTTAATGAGGCTTATGAACATTAGCAATGTAGGCTTAATTAAATTCTATGTTTAGTGTCTGAGAATGCCTGGCTTATACTCATGGCAGACCACAACAGATTTTAAATATTAAAATTTTAATGTTAGTACTTGCTTATAGATCAGTCCTTCCAGGAATTGAATGCAAATTCAAACACCCTCACAATCTGTGCAAGAGCTCTCATTTTTGTCCCATCATTGTATCATTTCCACATTAATTTTCTAGGTCTTATAATTGCTCTGACAATTATTGTAAGCACGCATCAAGACTGTAACGTCGCCAAAAATCAGACGCTTGCGGATTGAAAACAAAAGTAAGGTTTTACTGTTAGATGCAGGAATGTACAATGTAGTCAGAGAACAGGCGTGGGTCAGTTCCAAAAAACACAACAGAGTAAGAATGGCAAACATAACAGACAAGGGCAAATCCAAAACGAAGTCAGCAAAACAGGCAAAAGGTCAAAAACTATAGTCCAAGCAGTCAGGCAAAAGTACAAAAGGGCAGATCCAAAAGGCAAAGTCAAAGAAAAACAGGCAAAGGTTCAAATACACAAAAAATAGCAACAGAAATAAACGCTCAGTAGTTTCACAGGGAAAGCAATACCTCGCAACTAACAATGGCTAAAGCCCGGGCTTAAATACTACACTACCTGAGTCATATGACAGAGACACAGCTGAAACATATTAATATTCAGGTGAACGTGAGCGCTGATGGGAGCATGAGAACTGGTCGGGAGTCATGTGACTTTGCTGGGAAGTCTGGGTTTTGGAGTCCGAGTCCGACTGCATGTTTGAGGGAAGTAGCTCTGCCACCTGATCCCCCAGAGGATTCTGGGAGATGTAGTCTTTGTCCCTCTGAGGATTGGTCGAATGCGTGACAAAGACAAGGCAAACCAACTTCAGTTTTACATGAAAACAGGGTGGAGACTGGTTAATAATGCAACATTGTTGTGGTCAACAAACAAAGGTCAACCATTGTCACTTTTCCATCATGAAGCACAACTTTAACTCGATTTTGTGTACACTTGGATTTGTGGATTCTGGAGTGTGTTTACTGTTGCAAAGAACATTTTTTTTTAGAAAATATCACATTTAATGTGTTTGTATTTAGTGGCTCACGCCTAGTTCAGAGTCACACTGAACATTCTGCCAAAAGTCTGAGAGCAGTTTTCCTGATACTTATGGAATATTTGAGAAATATGGTGCATTGCATAACATCATTTCAATATGTATTGTTAAAAATACTTTTATTTTTTGAGAATTTAAATAGTGTTAAAATGTTTCTAAGTCTAAAAATGTCTATGTGTCTGCATGTTCTCTCTCCTCAGTGGTACACAAGATTTACAGTTTTTTTTTTCTCTTTGCAAATGTTGCTGCAAATTTTTAGAAAAGCTGCTGCAAAATGAGGTATTTTAACCTGCAACAATTACAAAAAAATGCACTGAGATCTTTGAGAGAATAACAGGGAAAGGATAAAGGATACCTGTCAGCTAAATCCTAATAGAACTGTGGAGATGGGTGATGGAAAACCTGTGAATATTTGATAAAAAGCCAACCTGTGCCCCCCCTTTTGCTTTCATTATTTAGGTTTTTCTACTTATTAATGTCATTGTTTAATTGTCTGACATTAGTTTATTTATTTGTTAATTTGCTCAGTCAAACCTGTGTATATTAATTTGTTATCAAAGTTAGGTTGTATGTGTTTGCAGCTTGCATTAAAGGATTTTGTCATGTCCAACTCCCACAACACACTCAAAGTGCAAAGTGCACATTATTCCCCAAATTTGGCTTCATGATGTATCAACTTTACATTTTGCGTTCAGTGGAATTTTCTATTACATGTATACACCATTAGATGCTGGCTGATCATCAGTTTTGTTTGGCTTTTTAAAGTCAGCCGTGAAATCAGTTTAATGTGAATTGGCTTTATTGGTCAATAACGCTGGACGGTGTAATCCAAATACATAGATTAGTCTGATTTGGACTGTTACTGCAATGACGCTGCGTCGCGCACCAGAATTTTGTAGAACAAACTTTATTTTCTGAATGTGAAAACTAGTGAAAAAATTCACGGCTGTGAGAATGCAGCAAAGGCAAAAAACGGGAGTGTCTCTTGCCAGATATGTTACAGATTAATCAGTTATTTATCAATTAATGATACAAGCCCTTTTCTAGTCTGAAGAGGGCGAGGTTGACATTGTGCCCATTGTAAAAATATCATATTGTAAACTGTAGTGTTCTAACTTGGGCTGTGAGTAGAATAGATGTCAGACTTGAGTGTTACTTGATTACTAAACATTTGTAGAATGATTTGTCATGAGCGTTAGAAGTTAAATAAATGGACACGATTTCACAGTTTCATCATGATAGCTTGAAATAAATGTCACACTGCTGGAGTGGCATGACTCTCATCTTGTTGTGATAAGAGATTTAATCTTTTCCTGCTCTGAGATGCCTCCTTAGAGACAGCTTGCTTCTCTCGATGCACTTTTCCCCAGTGTGGGAGGAAAAAATCAATGTCCTTCACCACTCCCATCCCACACACGACCATCTTATTTTTACTCAGAAAGCCCACTGTACTCACTTCAGCCAGAGACAGCTGCAACTAGATCCGATTATTTACAAACTGCATGTTGACGTTATGTGACTGCTGACTGTATATAAAGGATAAAACTGTATGCATTGTTGGATGTGTGGTGTAAATGCTTGTTTATTCGCGGATCTTTTGACAGACCTTGAGTTTGAGGTCAGCACCGTTACATTGTGCTACATTGAGAATCACAGTAACCATTTGTTCAGGACTGCTTTAGACTTGATTAAGGTAGAAAAAAGGGAGGCATACAGAATCCGCATCAGTGCCGCATACATAAACGCCATATATTAGTACCATATATAGGTCTTTATATAGGCTTTCTTTTGTAGGAGATATAGACAGTAGACACAATCTTACTAGGGCTGCACAATATATTTGTTGACTGTTATTGTGATATCGGTTTGCACAGTGCTGATATTGCCTCTAACAGTCAGTAAAGGTTTTATTATTAGGTAATGGGAGCATCTGACTAGCCATAGCTGAGTATTTGTGTGACATTCACATGTTCCAACAGATGTAAATACTTTTGGTCAAAAATAATGCAGGCATTTTTCACCACATGTGTTTTTGTATTGCAATATGTTATTTTATCCATATCAGGAAGCCTTAGATCATACTGAACACGCTCCATATACCCCAGTTTTATGTACAATGTTAATCTCATATTCTCTTCTATTTTGCCAGTTCAGTCCTATTTTGCCTTGGTCGTGATGCTCATGCTAATGTGCTTCTCTTGTTTCCCCTGCAGGTCCCTTCATACGGCAGAAGAGACACCATTCGCAGACAACCTACTGATCACCTCAATTTCATCATGTGATGTTCAGCGAGGGCTCACCGCATCTGACAGAAAGCCCTCAGAACCGCTACCGAATAATTTACAGCCATTGGCCCCAGAGGGGCTTAGACGTAGGAAAAAGTACGACAAAAGTAGGAATCTTGCCGTAAGAGCCTGCAACTTACGGCTACCAAGCTGAGTCATCTACAATTAGAGGCTATGTTTAATCATACTGTACACGGGGGATGAAAATGTTTTTTTTCTTTGCGTTCTTGTGGTTCTACCAGATGGAGTGGCGTACTCTTAGAATTGCAAAAAAAAAGTCTCTTTGAAATTCCAGAAAAGATGTGATAAAACGAGGCCTATGACTACTTTCAAAATATATTTTTTCATCTATATTTGTGTGATTATTGGCATTCCGTTTCATTTCTGTAGCAGAAATGATCAATCCTAGAGCGACCCCAAAATGCCATCATTTACTGTAGCTTAAGTCACTGTTGAAAAGAGTGATATATAATTGCTGCTAAAACAGTCAAAATATGGAATAGGATCAACTTTAACATGATGCCTACACTGTCTAATTTAGCTGTTGTCGTTACTATCATTATCCTGAGAATAGCAAATTCCTTTCAGCTATTAGCTTTGTACAACGTGGTTCACCTCTGAAAGATATGGATGAGATAAAAATGGGAATTTAAGTGTCCAAACACAGTATATGTTTTATAAAGAGGATTTTGAGATATATAAAAGAGCATATTTTTGATATTTCTTGAGATGATTTTAATGACGATTGCTTTCCTTTTTCGCTGGACTGTAATCTCTGCAGGGCATATATTTACATAATTTATTTATGTATCATTAAAAGATATAGAAGATGTCTGGAAATTTTCTTATATTGCGGAGGTGTGCTTACGTGTGGTTGTGTTTATAAAACCAAATAAGTTATTTTATGTACATTCCCTGACAAAAGCATTGGAATTCTAGTAGGGCCTGCCATGCATCATGGGAATATAAACTTAGTGTCCACTTTATTTGAAACACTTGCCTTGTACTTCCATTCACAGCTCTGCCCACCTTATAGGTCCACTATACAGGTGTAGAATTCCAGATTGTATGCACAGTTTGTCAGCCACCCTCTACCCCATTCATCATTAATCAATTTCTGACCACAAGGCCGCTGCTGACCAGATATTGCTCGGATGATGGACTCTTCTTAACACTGACATGTTAATGGCATGTTTCAGACACGGCAGTGTTGCTATGGGTTTTTTACATGCGTTAGTGTCACTCATAGGTTGAGAGTGGTTTGTTAGCCAAAAATATCCACCCAAGATGAGCTCTGTGTTCAGAAACTGGCCATTGGTGAAGTGCCAGAGGATGGCTGATACACATCGTGCAACATATGGGCTATAGTCAAGGTCAGAGTTTCTAATAATGTAGTGAATGTAACGTTATTGGTGCACAATATGCAACACCATAAGAGTCTTTAAGCAAGACTCTTAACACTACATTCATCTAATTCTAATATGATTGGCCAGGGAGTGTATAAATGTGCTAAAATATTTAAAATACAGCCCATGTTTCACGTAACCCCAAGACATGCATTTGCACCTGATGCCTGATACCACTGTTCCATTTCCAAAAATCTATTTTTGATAACGTGCAATAGTGGCAAGCCATTTACCCCAGTTAATACTTGGCTACTCTTCTGAGAGCGTAACTGTAAGAAAGATCAAGTAAGAATAACACATGATCATTACACTGTGGTTTCTTATGTGTTATCTGGAGCTAGTGAAAACATTGGTAAAACGGGCTGTCATCCTCCTGCCATTTTTCTTTATTTTATGGCTGTATTCATCCTCTTCTGAGCAAAATGCCAGATGTAAAGATGAACTAAAGAACGTGGTCAACTAAAATTAGACAACCATTAAAAATACTGAAACATTTGTGGGGTTTTAAGACGTTGTCAATCTTTGCACTTTGCACTGTAAATGGAAGTCTTTATACAGTGGAAGGAGCATCCACTTTAATATGTGAAATACAGAGTGATTTCAAATAGATTTGGCCTCGCCTTTTTCTCTGTGTGTGCATGTGTGATGTGTTTCCTATTTAATGTTTTGCTCCTGTTGACTTTACTAAAAGAAATGGTTTTGCAAACCAAAGAAAAGACAGAGCTATGCAACAGTCACCAAAAGCCCTTCTTTTATAGTCAAAATGGCCATAATGTACAAGTTATTAATTTTTCAGGAGGTATTTCTGAAGAGGGCGGCACGGTGGCGCAGTTGGTAGCGCTGTCGCCTCACAGCAAGAATGGCCTGGGTTCGATTCCCAGCCGGGCGACCAGGGTCATTTCTGTGTGGAGTTTGCATGTTCTCTGCGTGGGTACTCCGGTTTCCTCCCACAGTCCAAAAACATGCAGTCAGGCTGATTGGACATGCTAAATTGCCCATAGGTGTGAGTGTGTGTGTGTGTGACTGTGTATGTCTGTCTGCCCTGCGATGGACTGGCGACCTGTCCAGGGTGTATCCTGCCTTCCGCCCAATGACAGCTGGGATAGGCTCCAGCACCCCACCGTGACCCAGAAGGATAAGCGGTTTAGATGATGTATGTATGTATGTATGTTTCTGAAGAGATTAGATATAACATAATATGCCTGCATAAGGAAGGAAGATGTCAAATGAAAATAAGTGAACAACGGGTTTCCAAAACTGAAATTCAAAAAAGTGATTAAAATTATAGAGAAAATGGGGCTCTTAACAACCATGCAAGACCTGGTAGACCACCAAACTATTAGATAAACAGTACTTTAAATTCAAGAAAATCAAGCTCCACTCTTGCTTCAGGTCTGAAAAAATCCACAGGTGTTTCTGGCCATCTTTCCGCTGTGAGGTCTGGAAAAATATCTATGTAGATTTCTTTGAAAAACTGAAAGCACATCTCTCAGAAAGACATTGTAATGATGTTAAAGAGTGGATACACTAAATACTTAAAAAATATTTTTAGTTGTTAAAGCTTCTGTAAAATTTTGTAAAAGTTTTTTTTCCCCTAAAAATGAATAACCTGTACTTAATGGCCCTTTGTGGCTGCAAATTAAACAAATAAAGCATGGTCTCTGACTTTTGAACAGAGCTTTATACGAAGCAGAGAAAGACCACTTGGCACTCTTAATGAATCTTTGGATAGTGTTGTGGTTCAATAGCAAGCTGTCTTGTTTACAGCAGGCCAGGCAAGAGAATTGGCTACTTTAACCATTGTAATGAGTGAACATGGCACAAGATGGCAACCTACACTTGTTCTACTTGCACTCTAGGGTTCAAAAAGTATTTGCAATGGCAGAACGCCATGCCTGCTCCATGCAAACCAAAGACGAGAGAAGTCAGACCTGATCATTTGCACAAGGTGTCTTCAGATTTTCTAGTTTCCAGTCATGAAATACCTAACTTGTACCCAAGACTGAACTACATCATCCAACCCTGGCGGACAGGCTATTGTCCCTGGTCAAGATTATAATGGGTCATAATGAGACTTGCTCTGAACTAGCAGTACCTCGAAAATGGTGCAACTCAGAGTCATCAGTTCTGCCATTAGCAGGGAAATAAGTGATGTCTACCGAGACAGCTGAGAGGTTATTCAGTGCATATTACTCATCGACTTCATGATATTCCCAGTTTCACTTGCCTTGGACACCATATGACAAGGTAGCATTAGTTAAGTACAGGATGGCACAACAGAAATACTCACACAAGCTGTTTGCATTTACAGGGTCTTGGCTTTAAGGCATGAGTGAAACATGAGAGAAAGAGAGACTGAAGCTGTTCCCTTCCTTTCAGGGTCTTAGTTTTTGCTTTGCAGGTTTCAGTCAGAAACACCAAGGCTGCAAAATAAGACCTCTTGCAAATCTGCTTGAAAACATTAATGGAGCCTGTGATATCTTGTAGAATGAGTTAGGCCTGCAGCAGTATGACATTATTTTGAGAAAAGTGAAAACCATCAGCATAAAAATGAGCTTTATTTGTGAAATGTGTTACAAATTTGATATAGATGTGCAGTACATGGCATCCATATATAGAAAATTTTACATCTTCCTTTTCATTTCTCTCTTCTTCCATATGCTCTTAAAGAGTCCATCGTTACCGCCATGCAATGAAAAAGCCTCATCTTACATTATTACATTGTGGTTTCTGTCTTCTTTTTTTTACAAAAAATTCACATTGAGTTCACAAAAAATTATACAGTACTGTTACTTTATACATTATTGATACTGTTAAATTATACATTGCTGATGCATTACTGTTTTTCATAATTAATAAATAAAAAACAAATTGCTTGCAAGTGTGTACAATGATTATAATATTGTAGTTCTGTGTAACTTCAAAAGGTAATTTCGAGTAATTAGTAGAACACTAGGAAGCTGTAAATAAAACTGAAGAAATATTAGATATGTACGGAATGATGAACGGAGCAACAATGACAAAGAAACTTGTATAGCATCAAGAATTAAGCTGCCATAAAATTAATATTTAGTATTCATCGTACCTCAAAAGTGGGGATCAAATCTCAAGGCAGGTAACTTGACACAAGATGATGTATATCATTTATAATTTAGTATCTTACTGTTCACAGAATTTGTTGACTATTATAAATGAAACATCCAAATATACCTTTGGGTGAATAGTTTGTAATATGTTGGGTTATTAATTAAGTACTACTTACTCATTTTTCAGCAGGAAATAAAGCAGAAAACATATGTAACAGAAAATGGAGAAATGGAGAGATCTGAAAACCTCTGAAGTTCAGTCTTAGAAGTTGATTGCATTTTCTGTTTTTCATGATTCAACTAATCCAAACACATTCAGTGATGTTAAGGTCTGCACTCTGGGGTGGTCAGTCCATTGTTCTGAGAACACCAGCAGCTTCTCATTCAGCAAAATTTGTCTGTCCCACTTGTGCACCACATCCTTGGGTTTGCTCTGGCCCAGTATATGGCTGGGTCCTCTCCCCAGATCTAGCCCACACACTGTAAAGTGAGTAGAACTAATGGATGTTACCCAAATCTGGCCCAACTACATTGTTGGTCCACAACATGCACGCCAGAATTGGCTGACAAATATAGACACGAGGCAAAAAAACTTATGAAGCTGTCTGGCTTCCATCCCGGATTTTGGCCCGCATGCCTAACATCTGCCCGGTAGTCAACGAACACTCATGTAGGAAAGCCAGAATCAGCCCAAAACTTTCTGTTATCTGGGTTCTTTTTTATTTGCAAATTTTCTCTTTTTGTCCTTTTCCTAGTAACAGCTTCTTGACAGCTACACATCATTTCAGATGTTGTGTTATCTCTCACAGTGGAAGAAACACCTGTGGATTTTTACAGATCTGTAGCAAGAGTGGAGCTTGAAAAGCATTGTTGTGAAAAAATTTCATGAAAATACTGAGTGGCTTGACCTTGGTCAGTATTGTAACGATGTCGGAATATTCTCTAGAATATATTTTACTCACTTGCACAGCACTTTCAGAAATTATTGTACTTTTAGACTCTTGCCAAACAATGGCCTCCAGTTCATAGCCTTCAAAGTATATTTGCTTGCAGCTACTGTGTCTTGTATAAACAGAGTGACTCTATGTGAACACTTCTTTTGTCAACTGTCTACAAGTCCCTAGCAAATAAGGCAAGCCATTGAGTTGTCACAGTGTCTCTGATTTTGTTTTGTTAAAATGTGATTAAAGTCTGTCAGTCAGTCAGTTTACGTTGTATAGGAGCCACTGCTGGGAAGAAGTAAGCTCTTTTCATGTGCTCCACCCATTCTGTTGTGACAACAATGCTCTTTTCTGTGGCGCTGGAAACTAGGTCTGTGCATGCTGAGTGCCACGTTGCTTCACACACTGTAAACGGAACCAGCTGAGATGCTGCTGTCAAACTGTCAGTGTGAAGCATGTGCCACATACAGAGAGATTCCATTCAACAAGTGAAATTTCTCTCATTAGGTTTTCGTGTGTGCATCGGTTGCCCTGCTGCAAATGTGGCATTCAAAGAGAACACTGCTGAGCAGTCTTTGATTCAGAACAGATATGAAGTGAAGTACATCATAGTGCATGCATACTAAAATTCAGCTTATCAAAATGCAAAAGGCTTTATCATATTTCCATATTTCTAGTACTTTCAAGTGGTTCACGAACAACTCGCACAGAAGCAGGAACATAGGCCAAGTTCCCCCTGTGTTTGTGTAGTTAGTAATAATAGATGTGGTGATCTGGTGTTGAATGATCTGGTGGTGTCTTAGTTTCCATGTATTTTATATGTCCTGTGGGGGTTCCTACTAGTCTGTATCCCTGTGGAGAGCCACCTCATTATTATGGAGATTAAAGTGCCGGGGTCAACGTCACACACCTGCAACTAATTGTAACGCAACATGCGCGCCTTTATATTTGTAGGAAATACCTTCAGTGTGGTAAACTGCTTTAACTTTGATCTTTACACAGCGTATAAAAAGTGTCTCGTTCAGTAGATTCCCTCCCTTCTTTCCTACGTGGAGAGCCGTTAAATCGATAGAACATGTTGGCCTTGTGCACGTGCGCTAAAAGCCAATTCCAATGGAGGAGAAAGGATCTTTCAGGCCGACTACAGCATATATAGCCAAGCACTGCCCAAAGGTAGTCACATTATGAAATTCAGTAAACTGCTGTTGGCCGAGGCGTATTTCGTGGTGTCAGAAGATACGAGAAACAGTTTAATCATAGACCTACTGTTCAAAACAGCAATGGGAAAACAAGACAGTACACGTTTGCAAAGAACAGAGAAGGTCTGGAGAATTTCCCTCTAAAATTGGGGGCTGAAAATGGTTCTACAAGGGTTATTAAGTAAAGATGTGAATACATCCTATTAGGCATGCACCAATATAGCAACTGTGGGCCGATGCCGGTATCTGATATTTATTTATGTACATATCTGCTGCTACTGATGCTGATACATAAACATGTACAAAATGCAGTATTGGGGTATCTACGCTAAAAAACCCATTAGTGATTACTAATTAATCCTTTCAAACTTCAATGGGATTACTTACTTATTGCTTCTTGGAAAAGCAGTCTTACTATTCATTACTTTTACTTCTGCATTACTCTATATACCCCATACAAATCTGTACCAACCGGAAAGTACAGAAGAAACTCTATAGTAATTATCACTACTTTATTTAGAAAGAAATAAAACAACATTAAAAAGATCT